TCATTTGCCATGCAGAAAGAAAAAGTTCGAAGTACACTCTTGCATTTTAAGTCCTTAAGAGAATGATTAATTACAGTTCTCTAAACCTCACATCAGGCCTTTGTGGCTGTTTCTACACCATATCAAACTGGGGGGGGGGGGGGCTGAAAGCTCCAATTTTTATTTAAGTCAGTCGTTCTGTGCAGGCTCAGGGGTGAGGGTCTGGGCAGTATTCCTTGGAGAACGCTCCTCAGTTTTTGGACCAGCTGACTCTGTATCCGCAGGGAAGCCTGTCACTCTTTGGGACGAAAGGCAGCTCCACGTAAACGACTCGATCAAAAACAGGGTGCACACCTCCAATGTAGGGAAGGGGCGTGGAATTCCTTCTCCGATTTGACTTTTCCTTCCCCACCCCTCCCCCATCCCCTAATTTGCAGCCGTGAAAGTTAGGTCATCCTAAGGGCGGGTGGCGCGTCCTCGCCCGGCCCTGGGAGGACCGGGAGGAGCTGATACCGAGGCCGGCCGGCCCCTCCCGACTTGTCATAATGGGCGGGATGCTCTCTGCGACATACCCTGTGAAGTCTCAGCGTCACAGCGAGGGGGCTGGAATTTCCCCAAGCCCTACCTTGAGGACAGGCCCTCCGACCCGCGTCAGGTGGCGGTCGCGTCTTCGGGTGGAGGACGGGCGTTCACGCCGGGCGTAACCGCCGAGCCACGCCCCCATCCCGCCCCCTCGGGCGGCCGGTCCACACTCTGGTCCGCCTGTCCGAGCGGGGTCAGAAAAAAACTTTCAGTTCCTGACACGTCTCCTGTTGCTAGGCGATGAGAGAAGAGGCGGGGCCAACTGGAAAGAGGAGCCGCCTCCGCCCTTAAGGCGCACGCGCAGTCGCCCTTTCTCCGTCTCGATAGGGTCGGCGCCCTCCCAGGTCGGCGCCGCGCTCCGCCTCCACCTGCGAGCCCGAGCTGCGCAGGCGTCGTGCGAGGGTCGCCTCCGCCCCTCGCTGGGCTAGCGCTGGGGCTGCGCGTCCGGCCAGGCGTGGCGCCAGAGCCGGAGCCGCTGAGGAGTCGGTGAACCGAGCGGCTTCGCGAGACGGGCGCAGGGAGAAGGGCGCGGGAGCGCGGCCGCCGTGCCCGCTGCGGCTGAGAAAAATGGTATTCGAGTCGGTGGTCGTGGACGTGTTGAATCGGTTCTTGGGGGACTATGTGGTGAACCTGGATACGTCCCAACTCTCTCTGGGAATCTGGAAAGGTACGGAGACCGCCGCCGCCCCTCAGTCTCGCCTGCGCCGGGCGCTGACCTCCTGGGGCCTGGTGCCGCCACCTGCCGTCTCCCGCCTCGAGGTCAAGTGACGTAAAGCCGGGCGGCAGTTTCGGGGCGTCCACCCGCGAGTTGCTTTTTTTGGTGGGGTGGGGAGAGGGAGTAGTAGGGTCCTGGATGCGGGAAGAAAAGGCCCCTCTGGTCAGAGCGGAGCGGCTGAAGAGACCCGCAGGCGGCCCCGTGGGGCTACGGCTCAGGTTCCCGCGGGGCGCCCTTTCTTGCCCCCCGCCCGGCGCGGTCCGGCTTCGGCTGGGCTGGCCGAGGGGCAGCAACCACGCGCCGCTGGCTTTGGGCTCATCCTTGTCCTTTCCCCGGTTGGGATAGGACGAAGGCCCCAGAGACCCGACGGAGTGTCGCACGCTGCCTCGCACGTGAAGGCAGGGCGCTGTGACCGAAGACGCCCCCTTCCTCCCTTCCTTCCTTCCCCAGCCGCAGTTCATTGCGAACCCCCTGGCGCGTTCTCGGCTCCCGCTTCCGGCCGCAGAAGCGGGACTCCGGGTCGCTTGCCTGGGTTTGGCTGATAACTCAAAGGAAGTTCACGTGCACAGTAACTGAGACGGTCACTTGTGTGTTTTCTCTTCACAGCCTGACCCAGGAATATGCCACATTTGCAAGGCTTTGGGGTTTGGTGGGTTAGAGTGAATTACTGAATTTAAAGAAAAGAGAAAGGTGCGCTGTGCAGCGTCTCAGAGCTGTAGAAGGAAGGGATACGTGCACCACGCTGCTAGATGGGGAAGCACCGAAGCTGAGGTTGTGTCCGTTTGCTCTTGGGTGCTCTTCCTTACCTAGAGCCTAATTTTTAGTGCTTCCGTCTGTTTTTGTATTACATCCTTGTTTATTTTAAACATCCATTAGGGTTTGGACTCCTTTATGAAGTGAATTTCCCAGGCCCAAGTTAGGGTTAATTTTTTTTGTGAATAATGTGTATATATTTTAAAGTAACTATTCTCGGATGTGCACGTACTTCTCAAATACTTGTTTATCTTTACTCTTTTCGTTTATGAAATAATGTAAGCAGATAATTTAGTTTGCTTAAAAAAATACCTCTTGTTAACTTACGGTAAGTACCATGATAGAGTGGACTACAAATTCTCTATGCTGCCCCTTTGTAGTTGACTCCACCCCACCCCGCATCTGGGCAGGCACTGATCTTTTTCCATCTCTATAGTTTTGCCTTTTCCAGAGCGCCATATGAATGGAATTATATGGTATGTAACCTTTTGGGACTGGCTTCTTAATTTCACTTCTTACACAGAATGGCTTGCATGCATCAGTTTTTCATTCTGTGGATGTGCTATGGTTTATCTGTTTGCTGGTTGAAGGATATTTCAGTTTTTGGAGATTAGGAATAAAACTGTTATAAATATTCATGTGCAGATTTTGTGTGAACAAAAACTATTTCTCTTGGGTAAATAAGTAAGAGTGCAATTGCATGGTCATGTAGTGGGTGAGCATTTAACTTTATGAGAAACTACGGAACTGCTTTTCAAAGTAGCTATACCGTTTTCCAATCCCACCAACACTGTATAAGGGTTTAGTTGCTCTGCACCCTCACCAACACTTGGTATTGTCCTTGAAAAAAAATTTTTTTTGAATAATCCATTCTAATAGGTATGTAGTGGTAAAGCTTTGTGGCTTTAATTTGCATTTCCTTAGTGATTAATGTTGAGCATCTTCACATGTTCTTTGCTGTTTGTATATTTCAGACAGGTGTCCAAACCTTTTGCTCATTTTAAATTGAGTTGTTTGTGTACTTCCTCAATATTATCTCATTTGATCTACATCATCTTCTCCTTAGATAGGAATTATTACTAACCCCATTTTAGAGGTGAGAAAAGTGATTGACAGCGTTAATAACGAGGCAGAAGTCATGAACTCTAAGAAGTAAAATAGAATTAAAATCCATAAGTATGTAATTCCACACTTCCTACCCTAACTATCAGGCTTTACAGAAAAAGCAGACAAGAAATACATGTAAACAATCATAATACCACCCACCCACAAATTACCGTTGCTAACATTTGTTGTGTTGTCAGCACCACGCTCACCCAGTGAGCAAACCGGCCATTCCTATATGGGATCCGAACTCGTGGCCTTGGTGTTATCAGCACCGCCCTCTCCCGAGTGAGCCACAGGCCGGCCCCATGTATTCTTTTTTTTATTGAGATTTAATTCACGTACTATCAAATTCACTCTTTTAAAATGTACAATTCAGTGCTTTTCAGTGTAGTCACACAATTATGCAGCCATCATCACTAATTCCAGAGCGTTTCCACCCCCCCCAAAATAAACTTCATGCCCATTAGCAGTTACTTTCTGTTCCCTCCTACTCCTCCTCACCCAGCCTCTGCCAGCCACTAATCTACTTTCTGTTTCGGGGTTTGCTGATTCTGGACATTTCATTTAAGTGGAATCATACAGTATGCAGCCTTTTGTTTCTGGCATTTTTATCTTAACAGTAAATTGTCAAGTTCATCCATGTTGAAGGATGTAACAGTATTTCATTTCTTTTCATGGTTGAATAGTATTCCATTCTACAGATATACCACATTTAGTTTATCTACTCATCAGTTGCTGAACATTTAGGTTATTTCCACTTTTGGGCTGTTATGAATAATGCTACTGTGAACATTCACGTACAAGTTTTGTGTGGATATATATTTTAAATTCTCTTCGGAATATACCTGGCAGTGGAATTGCTAGGTCTTATGGAAACTCTGTGTTTAACTTTTTGAGGAACTGTCAAACTCTTTTCAAAAGTGTTTGTTTTCTTATTGCTGAGTGTTCTTTAAGTATTAATGATACAAATCCTTTTTCAGATATGTAATTTGAAAATGTTTTCTCCCAGTCTTAGTCTGTCTTTTGCAGAGCAAATGTTTTTAATTTTGATAGAGTCCATTTTATCAAAAATTTCTTTAATGAGTCAGGGTTTTTGGTGTTTTATCTATGAAATCTCCCTAACCCAAAGTCACAAAGATGTTCTGTTTTCTTCTAGAAGTTTTATAGTTTTTCTTTTAGGTCTTTGATCCATTTTTATATGAAATGGGAAGGTTGAGGTATGTTTGTTTGCATGTGGGTGCAAATGTCCAGTTAATTCAGCACCATTTGCTGAAAAGACTATTCTTACTCTATTGAATTATCTTTGCTTTTTTATAAAAAAATCAGTGGACTTTATATTATGTGGCTTTATTTTTGGATTATATTATATTCCAACTATCTGTGTGTCCATCCTTTTAGCAATACCACACTGTCATAACTATAGCTTTGTAGTAAGTCTGGTAATTATGTAGTGTGAGCTGTCCAACTTTGGTCTTTGTCATATAATTTTTAAAATAAGGGCNCTTTCAGTTCCTGACACGTCTCCTGTTGCTAGGCGATGAGAGAAGAGGCGGGGCCAACTGGAAAGAGGAGCCGCCTCCGCCCTTAAGGCGCACGCGCAGTCGCCCTTTCTCCGTCTCGATAGGGTCGGCGCCCTCCCAGGTCGGCGCCGCGCTCCGCCTCCACCTGCGAGCCCGAGCTGCGCAGGCGTCGTGCGAGGGTCGCCTCCGCCCCTCGCTGGGCTAGCGCTGGGGCTGCGCGTCCGGCCAGGCGTGGCGCCAGAGCCGGAGCCGCTGAGGAGTCGGTGAACCGAGCGGCTTCGCGAGACGGGCGCAGGGAGAAGGGCGCGGGAGCGCGGCCGCCGTGCCCGCTGCGGCTGAGAAAAATGGTATTCGAGTCGGTGGTCGTGGACGTGTTGAATCGGTTCTTGGGGGACTATGTGGTGAACCTGGATACGTCCCAACTCTCTCTGGGAATCTGGAAAGGTACGGAGACCGCCGCCGCCCCTCAGTCTCGCCTGCGCCGGGCGCTGACCTCCTGGGGCCTGGTGCCGCCACCTGCCGTCTCCCGCCTCGAGGTCAAGTGACGTAAAGCCGGGCGGCAGTTTCGGGGCGTCCACCCGCGAGTTGCTTTTTTTGGTGGGGTGGGGAGAGGGAGTAGTAGGGTCCTGGATGCGGGAAGAAAAGGCCCCTCTGCTCAGAGCGGAGCGGCTGAAGAGACCCGCAGACGGCCCCGTGGGGCTACGGCTCAGGTTCCCGCGGGGCGCCCTTTCTTGCCCCCCGCCCGGCGCGGTCCGGCTTCGGCTGGGCTGGCCGAGGGGCAGCAACCACGCGCCGCTGGCTTTGGGCTCATCCTTGTCCTTTCCCCGGTTGGGATAGGACGAAGGCCCCAGAGACCCGACGGAGTGTCGCACGCTGCCTCGCACGTGAAGGCAGGGCGCTGTGACCGAAGACGCCCCCTTCCTCCCTTCCTTCCTTCCCCAGCCGCAGTTCATTGCGAACCCCCTGGCGCGTTCTCGGCTCCCGCTTCCGGCCGCAGAAGCGGGACTCCGGGTCGCTTGCCTGGGTTTGGCTGATAACTCAAAGGAAGTTCACGTGCACAGTAACTGAGACGGTCACTTGTGTGTTTTCTCTTCACAGCCTGACCCAGGAATATGCCACATTTGCAAGGCTTTGGGGTTTGGTGGGTTAGAGTGAATTACTGAATTTAAAGAAAAGAGAAAGGTGCGCTGTGCAGCGTCTCAGAGCTGTAGAAGGAAGGGATACGTGCACCACGCTGCTAGATGGGGAAGCACCGAAGCTGAGGTTGTGTCCGTTTGCTCTTGGGTGCTCTTCCTTACCTAGAGCCTAATTTTTAGTGCTTCCGTCTGTTTTTGTATTACATCCTTGTTTATTTTAAACATCCATTAGGGTTTGGACTCCTTTATGAAGTGAATTTCCCAGGCCCAAGTTAGGGTTAATTTTTTTTGTGAATAATGTGTATATATTTTAAAGTAACTATTCTCGGATGTGCACGTACTTCTCAAATACTTGTTTATCTTTACTCTTTTCGTTTATGAAATAATGTAAGCAGATAATTTAGTTTGCTTAAAAAAATACCTCTTGTTAACTTACGGTAAGTACCATGATAGAGTGGACTACAAATTCTCTATGCTGCCCCTTTGTAGTTGACTCCACCCCACCCCGCATCTGGGCAGGCACTGATCTTTTTCCATCTCTATAGTTTTGCCTTTTCCAGAGCGCCATATGAATGGAATTATATGGTATGTAACCTTTTGGGACTGGCTTCTTAATTTCACTTCTTACACAGAATGGCTTGCATGCATCAGTTTTTCATTCTGTGGATGTGCTATGGTTTATCTGTTTGCTGGTTGAAGGATATTTCAGTTTTTGGAGATTAGGAATAAAACTGTTATAAATATTCATGTGCAGATTTTGTGTGAACAAAAACTATTTCTCTTGGGTAAATAAGTAAGAGTGCAATTGCATGGTCATGTAGTGGGTGAGCATTTAACTTTATGAGAAACTACGGAACTGCTTTTCAAAGTAGCTATACCGTTTTCCAATCCCACCAACACTGTATAAGGGTTTAGTTGCTCTGCACCCTCACCAACACTTGGTATTGTCCTTGAAAAAAAATTTTTTTTGAATAATCCATTCTAATAGGTATGTAGTGGTAAAGCTTTGTGGCTTTAATTTGCATTTCCTTAGTGATTAATGTTGAGCATCTTCACATGTTCTTTGCTGTTTGTATATTTCAGACAGGTGTCCAAACCTTTTGCTCATTTTAAATTGAGTTGTTTGTATTCTTTCTTTTTTTTTTTTAAAGATGACCGGTAAGGGGATCTTAACCCTTGACTTGGTGTTGTCAGCACCACGCTCACCCAGTGAGCAAACCGGCCATTCCTATATGGGATCCGAACTCGTGGCCTTGGTGTTATCAGCACCGCCCTCTCCCGAGTGAGCCACAGGCCGGCCCCATGTATTCTTTTTTTTATTGAGATTTAATTCACGTACTATCAAATTCACTCTTTTAAAATGTACAATTCAGTGCTTTTCAGTGTAGTCACACAATTATGCAGCCATCATCACTAATTCCAGAGCGTTTCCACCCCCCCCAAAATAAACTTCATGCCCATTAGCAGTTACTTTCTGTTCCCTCCTACTCCTCCTCACCCAGCCTCTGCCAGCCACTAATCTACTTTCTGTTTCGGGGTTTGCTGATTCTGGACATTTCATTTAAGGGGAATCATACAGTATGCAGCCTTTTGTTTCTGGCATTTTTATCTTAACAGTAAATTGTCAAGTTCATCCATGTTGAAGGATGTAACAGTATTTCATTTCTTTTCATGGTTGAATAGTATTCCATTCTACAGATATACCACATTTAGTTTATCTACTCATCAGTTGCTGAACATTTAGGTTATTTCCACTTTTGGGCTGTTATGAATAATGCTACTGTGAACATTCACGTACAAGTTTTGTGTGGATATATATTTTAAATTCTCTTCGGAATATACCTGGCAGTGGAATTGCTAGGTCTTATGGAAACTCTGTGTTTAACTTTTTGAGGAACTGTCAAACTCTTTTCAAAAGTGTTTGTTTTCTTATTGCTGAGTGTTCTTTAAGTATTAATGATACAAATCCTTTTTCAGATATGTAATTTGAAAATGTTTTCTCCCAGTCTTAGTCTGTCTTTTGCAGAGCAAATGTTTTTAATTTTGATAGAGTCCATTTTATCAAAAATTTCTTTAATGAGTCAGGGTTTTTGGTGTTTTATCTATGAAATCTCCCTAACCCAAAGTCACAAAGATGTTCTGTTTTCTTCTAGAAGTTTTATAGTTTTTCTTTTAGGTCTTTGATCCATTTTTATATGAAATGGGAAGGTTGAGGTATGTTTGTTTGCATGTGGGTGCAAATGTCCAGTTAATTCAGCACCATTTGCTGAAAAGACTATTCTTACTCTATTGAATTATCTTTGCTTTTTTATAAAAAAATCAGTGGACTTTATATTATGTGGCTTTATTTTTGGATTATATTATATTCCAACTATCTGTGTGTCCATCCTTTTAGCAATACCACACTGTCATAACTATAGCTTTGTAGTAAGTCTGGTAATTATGTAGTGTGAGCTGTCCAACTTTGGTCTTTGTCATATAATTTTTAAAATAAGGGCCGGCCCGTGGCTCACTCGGTAGAGTGCGGTGCTGATAACACCAAGGCCGCAGGTTCGGATCCTATATAGGGATGGCCGGTTTGCTCACTGGCTGAGCGTGGTGCTGACAACACCAAGCCAAGAGTTGAGATCCCCTTACCGGTCATCTTTTTAAAAAAAAAATAATAATAAAAATAACATGTTGGTGTTTTATGTATAGAAATTGATTATATTTTGGGCCGGCCCGGTGGCTCACTCGGGAGAGTGCGGTGCTGATAACACCAAGGCCCCGGGTTCGGATCCCATATAGGGATGGCCGGTTCGCTCACTGGCTGAGCGTGGTGCTGACAACACCAAATCAAGGGTTAAGATCCCCTTACCGGTCATCTTTTAAAAATAAAAAAAAAATTGATTATATTTTGATAAATGAGACTTTAATAGTTGGAATATTTTGTGTATGTGTGTGTTCTTTATCATTATTCATTATGTATTATTTATTATTACTGTGTTCTCAGCACCTAGAACAGAGCACCTGGCACACAATAGGCCTTCAATACAAATTTGCTAAATTAAAAAAGAACATTCCCTGAGCTCGTACTGTTGCCAGACACTGTAGTACTTTACACACACTGGTTTCAGCTTTTATGATAGGATTATTGTACAATCTAAAAAAGCACTTAATCTGCCTCTTACTACTATAGCTGGAGTATTTTTTAAAAAACATCCTTTGAGAATTACAGAAGTAGTAACTTTTGATAAACTTAGAAGATTTTTAAAAAGCATTGTTTGAACGTTTTGATAACAGAAACTAATTACTGCATAGGCGAAATTTTAAGATGGTGGACTTAATATTTTGTGGTCTAATGTCAGAAGGATCTATTAGTTATAAATTTGTACTTTTGCTAGGCTTCTGTGTAATAATCCAGCTAATTTCACTATTAGCATGTTAATAGTAGCAGTTAGTATTCAGGTGGTTCTCAGAAAATTTGGGTAGTGCTCAGAAAATTTATTTCTGAGATGATTCTTTGGCTGTCAGAATCTACTTTCCCTTAGAAACATTGTTATGTATGAATGAGGAGCTTCCAAAACCCTGTTTAATTGTAATGTAGCACTAGAGTGGTGCCATACTGGGTCCAGTTAGTAGACTGAGTCAGAAAATTTCTTCCTGACCCTTCCCAGTCAATTCCTGCCCTCATCCCCAGAGGCAGCTAATATTCTGATTTTTTTTTTTTTTTCCTATCATACATACCTTTATTCCTGCTTTGCTGAGAGTTCCCTCCTCCCTGGCCAAAGAAAGTGTGTTGGGTTTTCCAAATGCTTTTTCTTTGTCTATTGATATGATCATAGGGTTTTTCTTCTTTAGATTGTTAGTATAATAGGTTACATTAATTGATTTTTTAATGTTGAACTAGTCTTGCATATGGAATAAATCCTATTTGATCATGGTGTGTAATGCTTTTTTAAACGTTGTTGAATTCAGTTTGCCAATACAGTTGGCCCTCCCTGTTCACAGATTGCTCATCTGTGGACTCAGTCAACCTGCTCTCCTTTGGTTCAGTAATTTGCTGGGATGGATCACAAAACTCAGGGAAACACTTACTTATGTTTACCAGTTTATCATAAAAGATAACACAAAGGATGCAGAGGAAGAGATGAGTAGGCAAAGTATGGTGGGGTGGATACACGGAGCTTCCACGCCCTCTCTGGGCCTGTTACCCTCCACAGGTTCAGCAACTCAGAGCCCATCAAAGCTTGTTGTCTAAGAGTTTTTATAGAAATTGATCTTCATCCTCCCCTCCCCCTTTCCTGGAGGTAGACGGATGAGGCTGAA